CTTTTCAAGGACATTGCTGGTGAAACGGTGGTCCAAGCCATAGTTGAACGATGAGCAGCAGACTTCTGTCCTTCATCTATCACTACAAACCGTGGATGCCAGTTCGAATCTAGGCTTTAACGTTATCTCACTACAATGCTAGTAAGCACGCGATCACGGACAGACATACACAAGCCAGCATGTTAGTAGAACGATTTTACCAACAACGAAAAGCTTCGCTTTCAGCTGCTAACTTTTCACGGTAGTCTAATGCTTTTCCGATCATGCTGCTCGGTATTTGCAATGAAGTATAGGCTGATATACACTCTAGCACAACTCCTATACGCAAAAACACTGACTTTCAGGAGGATTTGTGGATCCTTTGTTTTCTTCAATGAATATTGATCGAAATTCCTAGACAAGCAGGCTTACAAACGTTAAGCGTTCAGTTAAACCTGTCTCCACTTGATCGTAATCAACTTTTATTTTCGTTCAACAGAGGTTGCAACATAATACACATGTTTACGTACGTCGTGATTCGTTACGATGACCTCTCGATATCACATGTGAAAGATGCTTCAGCGTACTAAATACAACATCCCCAAAAAAACGGAACTGAAAATAAAGTTAGCATTGGCCATCTTAAATCTGAGTATTTAGAAGGAAACCCCAACAATGTTGATTTCATCCTGGTACACCGGAATGACACGAACCTCACGATCAAGAACCCCACTCGATAGTCATCCATCATGACGAAACTTCTCTATCGTCTGACAGTCGGCTCAAAACAACGCGCTCTGAAAGAATTACAATATTTCAGGAATACTTAAGCGAGTACTCCTCACACAACACTGCATACCATTTTGTTTTATCTGGTTTATGAAATGTTTATCTCAAGGAAAACAAAAACATACATTTTTCCGTAGTATTCTCATATATATGTGTATAGTTCTTTTCCCGAAAAAAATCTTTGTGCAAAAATGATTTAACACTATCTCATTTTAACGACATGCATGTACATCAGTTTATTCCTCTTTTTTCTCACGTTTTACGTCCTTACGTACATACGAGCGTATTTTGAAATATACTTACAATTACTTTTTTTATTTTCCAGGACGTATGGTGAAGATGAGAAACCGAAGAAGATTACCAAGGATTGAAATTTTTGCAGTGTTTGTTTTTCATTACCATATTGTACCACATGATTCCTTATGATATGAGGAGACCACTAAATCCTGATGGACATAGCAAGTTGATAGAGTGTTTACTGACGACAAGCTTGCTGTGTTTAAAATTCTGGCTAGCCATTTTTTTGGGTCATGACAACCTCACTAGGGAAGGGTGGGCTGCAGCTGGGAATGTATCCACAAAATAAATATTTCTCTGTGTCTTCAACGTTGAATCTGGCCTTATTAGTTTTACTGGACACATCTAACTGAAGGCGCCCTGTCACTCATCCGCACCAGATCACGAGTGGGTACGCCGTGTTACGCATCCGTTGGAACGGTCGACCAGCTAATACAGAACGCCCCTCAAAGTATTGATATTTTTCTAGATACATCTTTGGTCCCCTTTATTTCTAACTTCTGATTTGACTTGGTTGGCAAACTTCGATTACAAAGGTGGTACTTGCAAAGGAGTTCTCGAACTTCGAGTACCTGTGGTATCTTCACGGGTAAACTTTTTAAATACGTCCTTCGTAATATATCTTTCTACGAACATTTTGTTCCGAAGAATAATGTGTAAAGTGATCATATAAAGTAATGACAACTTTGGAAATAGGTAGGTTAACAATAAAATGATATTGTTGGAATAGAAGACCATCAAGGTCAGGAGAAACGTAAAGGCTAGGAAACTGACCTGTCAATTGTTTGGTTCTATACTAAATAAAAAACTTTATATTCAACTGTTTCCAGCTGCAAGGTAACTCTGAATTATTGAAACACTTGTTTCGACTCCTTTTGAGCGTATCGTACTGTAACCAGATGTTTGGAAAAATGGCTACAGGTAGACTACAGATCTTATCGAACTCCAGGTTTTTCATTAGCTGAGTGAGAACCAAGTCAGACGTGGTGTGTACAAGAGGTTCATTATAAGCCACAATTACAAGCGCAAATATACTGGAAGTAAAGCTAGTGAATACAAACAAAGAGTCATTCGTCTAATAAAGGATATGAGCAGACTAAATAAGTTTTCATGTTGAAATATATTACGGAGAACTGTCTATAAACGAAGTTTTTATGATCTTGAATTGAACAAGAAGCAAATAAGGCCCATCTGATAGGAGTATCTGAAACCTGGATATCTTCTCAGTTCTCGGACCAATAGTTAGCATTACCTGGGATGTCTTGGTTCCGCAACGACAGAAAAACAGGAATTGGGGAGGGAGTAGCCGTATACATACGATCTTGTTTGGAGGTACACCAAGTTCACAACCATGATTTTAACAATCTTGATGAGTCTGTATGGTGTTTTGTAAGATTGTCTACTACTTTGAGGTGCCTAGTCGGAGTCATATATAGGAAGCCCACTGCTGACATCGAGTATGACAGTCGTATGCTGGAAGGACTATCCCGCTCTACGCGTCTCGGTTTCACTCATATCCTGATTTTGGGGGACTTCAATCTCCCTAGAGTCAATTTCGCGGAACATACGTATATTGGAGGTGAAAACTCAACTGAAGCTCGGTTCTTCAACCTCATTGAGAATTTGGGATTATACGAAAATGTGAAGTCGGCAACTCGTTGGAGAGAGTCAGACACCATCGCGCTGAGACTGTGCATTCACAAACTAAAAAGTCCTAGTTGACAACCTCTTAATCCTGGCTCCCCTAGGAAAAGCGATCATGCCGTCATAGCCTTCAGTTTTGTCAGCAAAACTAAGCTAAGATACCCCACGAATAACTTGCGTTGGAATTTTAAACGGTTGAATGTGCCAGCTCTACACCACTATCTACCACAGGTGGTTTGGGATGTTCACCCCCAACTCAATGTGGACGGTCATTGGGACTGTAGTGGCATTGGACAATAGCCACACAATCCACAAAGCTGTGAACACGAGACTACTCAGAAAATAGATATTCAATATTTAACGCGGAGAAATACCTAACAATGGAGAAGGCGCGAACAAGGAATTGAATGGACTGGGTTTGATCGGATGGCATGGCAGGCGTGGTTCATCTCAATGTTACTTTATATCTTCTATTCATATTAAATATATTGTTCTTTCTCTAGCCTAACTTTGTTCTACATCATGTATTGGTAATTGATACGATACAGTGAGTTGGTGTCGTCGATGGTGTGACTTCCACGTAAGATCTTATAGATTAGGCAGTTATATCATGACAAATCTACAAATTTAGGATTAGGTCTATTATTAGAGCAGTACTAATATCATAGTAGACCTAATTCTACAGGACTGCTTACTGCACACGCTCTTACGTGCTACAAACCATTCAGTTCCTCAAACGGTTCCCGAAAGCTGCAAGCCACCTTCAATCATCAAGAACCGTACCCTTCGCCTGCCAAGCCACGAAAGGCACTGTTGGGCGGAATACAAACGAACTGACAACGACGGAGCGTACAGGCAATATAAACATATAAGGGACATATACACGAAGGCTATAAGAGGAGATAGGTTTCAGTACTAGACAAAGCTTATGGACAAATTTTCCTCTAATCCTAAAAGCGTATTCCGTTATGCATCCTTTCTTCGTCAAACCAAAACTGGAGTTTCCCAACTGCTAGGTCCTAGTGGACCTACCATTAACTGGTTGATATCACTTACCTTGATTTCTCAAAAGTTTTTGATAGGGTTAATCATATATGTCTTATCAATAAGCTCAAACGATTCGGTATCAGACCACCTCTAATCGATTGGCTCAGTTCATATCCGAAAATCGACATCTCAAGGTCAGGGTTAACTTCACTTTATCTCCGGCTGTGGAATGTTCTAGTGGGTTCCTCCGGGGCTCAATACTAGGACCTCTTCTGCTCTTGATTTATATAAATGATCTTCCACAACAGGAATCGTCAGACTTATTACTTTTCGCCGACGACGTGAAAATTTGGAGAGAGGTATGCAACCAAGACGACATAAAGGCACTTCAGGAGGATCTGACTCGACTTCAAAATTGGGCAGATAATAATGTACACTTCAAAGTGTAAAGTAGTCCATCCGCGACATGTCGCAGACTACAGTTATAACTTAGGTAACTCCTCTCTAGTAGTATCCCAAGTCCAAAAAGTTTTAGGAGTCTTGGTGCTTCACGATTTAAAGTCTTACGCTAACTGTGACAAAAATGCCTTCCGAGCAAACCTTGCACTGGTAACATTGAAGCACATTTTTGGACAGTTTGACGGAAGAACTTTCTATATAATCTTCAATAGTTTTATCCGTCCACATTTAGAGTACGGAAACATAGTATTTCCCCCACTCACTCCAAAAGGATAAAGACACCCTGGAGCGTACCCAACGGCGAGCCACGAAATCAGTTCGAGGACTCACATTTAAATCTTACGAAGAACGCCTCCATTCACTTGACCTTTACACATTAGAGTATAGACGTCTTAGAGGTGACCTTCTGATGGCTTATAGTATCCTTAACACTTCTGGACATCCTCTTGAACACCTACTTAAGCTTAGTTCCAACACTAACCTAAGAGGTAACACCCAAAAACAGGAGACACAACATAGCAGAACGGACTGTAGACACAACTTCTACTACTTAAGAGTTATCAAATGCTGGAATTCGCTGCCGGACGAACTAGTCCAAGCGACTTGCCAGGAGTCCTTTAAGAGGCAACTTGATCTATTCTTAAGGATTAAGGATAGTATCGCACTATGATTTAATAATTTCTTTTCCTGTTTTATTGTTAACATGCCTAGGTTATTGTCTGGAGGATCTGGTGATCCCCTGCTACTAGACACGGAAGCCTGTTAAGCGAAAGCTTCTTCTATTCCATCCTTAACCATTTGAACCATTTGACCATTTACTGCGCAATCATTAAGTGTGGCGTTACATTGTCGTGGAAACTACAGAGGTTGGCGTACTTTCCAGTTTTTTACAATTTTTGGGTTGTCATAAAGAAATGGGTCAATCCTTGACTTGAAATGTTTTTAGGGTCTTGTTGCATGCTGGGTGTCCGAAATCTATGTCAGCCTTTGGTTAACCAAGTGTAATTATCTCGTGTCATTATGGTTATAACCATTCCGATGTATACATCGGAAATCCCTTATTAAAAACGTATTCTCTTCCCTATGGACTTCTAAATAGTCGTAATCCGACTCTTTCAGTTTAAGACAAGTCGTTTTCCCCATAAATTCACAAGAAATCCGATAACTACTTTCTCTTGGTCTAATAAGACGAGCCTGATATTCGCTCCCGTTTGACTTTATAGTGGTATCTAACATAGTATATAACGTAGCCCAACATTATCGACCCAACAAGTAGTCATTATTTGTTAATACTTCGTGTATTTCTTGAAAAAGATCAAGATTTGGGCACATTTAATTATTATGAGCAACATCATCATACTATATCTGACAAATATCCCCGCATTCGTGATTCTCCTCTTTCACAGTAAAATTTTTTCACGGTTTCATTTACCGGGTTGTTTCCTGCACAAGTACCACACTTCATTATCGTGGGTCAGACTCGGTTTACTCCTAATGATCTTTCAGATGTCAGACTTTGCCTGGCAGAAAACTCAAAAGGTGTGACTTAAAGAGAGAAGTATGCCATTCGTCATCACAATCGTCTATTGGGATCTAAGGTTCTTAGACCTGAGACATTCTGATAGTTGTCTAGTGAATCAGTTGAAAACGTCGCTTGAATATACAGTGGGTTTCTCCACTATATTTATAAATCACAAATAAGCTTGTTGAGTAAATATGTGTCCTTAGTAATGAAAATATTCATTGGGCTCTTTCACATTGTTTGTCTGATCAGACAATTTTGTTTTTCTGAATTTTACACATAAATTTCTCTGTCTCGCGTAACAAACCTGATCACATACTTCCATTTATAATTAATAACCTCCAGATGTTCATGTTCCTACTTGCCCTTGATGGTGTCGATCGGCTAATTTCTTGTAATAATTAGAAGTATTTAAACTATGGTACAAACTAGGAATCCCAGAAATAACTCAGTTTAACCAAGAAGTATTAGATGAGCACAAACGAACGTATTGTATTTGGAATTCGAAACCAAGCTGTCATCAAAATCAAAGGGATCATTAGTTCATACAAACACCACATCCGCCACGGCCTTAATTGGAGTCTAAGTTTCTGTAATCGATTGTACGTCTCCTTAAGTTGATAATGTCTGTCCGACAATGTATTGGATGTAGACTATTTTCTGGGTCCTGGAACTGTATACAATCATCATGTCGGTTGTGTAGTCAGTCAGTCAGCTACAACGTAGTACAAGGCACATATATGCATCGGTCCAAGTTACCATACCTCACTAGCACAACAAGATGGACACCGGATTCATAAAAGTAGTTAATTTAGAGGTGGTTATATATAAAGGAAAGATTGCATATAAGTATATAGTACAGGAAGAAAGAATTAGTTCGTAGAAAGAAAGATATGAAGCAATTTCAATTTCATAGTTTAATGGAAGACAAAGTGTATACACTTACGCCATTGTGATCCATTCTGAGCTGTGTCACACACAGAGTCTCCAACCATTGGTTACGATAGTCACGCGGACTATAACCAAGTATTCTGCATCTACCAACATGGCTCAGACTAAAAGTTAGTGAATTCAATCACTGATGCCACATTTTGATTTGGTGGTCCCTAACTTTCCTCCAACCATCTCCAACACCGGTTAGCATTGCACATCGTGGTAATCGGTGTTCAGGCATACACAACACATGGCCCAACCATCTCAGCCGATGAAGATTCACAACCTCATCAACTGATTTACCATCATTCCCTACTACCCCCAAATGCCCCGGTACGGCCGAGAGTCGGGAGAGTCCGCTCTCTCTCTCTTGAAATACTCTCACACGGCCATGCGTATACAGCCTCTGCCAGGGAAGTCCTACCCATTGCTTCTCGTGGCGGGGGTGTTGTTTACGAAAATGAGAGGACGAAAAGCGAATGTCCGGCGCTTCAACAGGATTCCAAACCAATGGTGCACTTGGGCTTCAGTATCCTGCGGGAACAAATGGCGTATGAACCAATCGTTGGTCACCGGCTACCATGGGACTGCATTTCCTTACGATGCTCCGCTGCCTTGTGGGTTAGACTTTAGGTCAAAGGCTCGGGGAGTGGCCCCCTAAGAAAACCACCTGCTTCGGTCTGGGCACCCGGGCAGTATCGCAGCCCACACGCAAATGATGAACTCTCTATATCTATGGAAAATGCTTTTCTCGCTTCGAATAACAATCAAATTATTATTATTATTATTATTATTATTATTATTATTATTTACCACATTATTCACCCTCTTTTATACCTATACAGCGGCTCGTCTTTGGTGGAAATTCGACTGTATATAAACGTTCTCGAGTCACTGTCCGGTTGAAAATTGTATGTTACCACTGAATATGAGTACTGAAGCAGTTTTTCTGGAACCACGTGCACCATTCAAACTGGCTGCCTTCAACGTTCGCATACTTATGCAGGTTGGACAACAGATAGGGCTGGCTAGGTCTTTGGAAAGTCTTAATATCGATGTCTGCTGTCTATCCGAGACCCGTATTCAAGACTCTGGTGAAGTACTACAAATTCGCTCTCCATCTGTCGCTTCGAAAAGCTTGTTTTACGTGCGCTTATCCGGGGACCCTGTGGCATCTTCGTCTGGTCTTGCTGGATTTGGTGTCGCACTAAGCGCTAGAGCTGAGGCAGCACTAATCGATTGGATCCCCATTAACAGTCGGTTATGTGCTGTTAGATTAAAGAGTTCTATCAAAGTAAGAAACGATGTCTTTTCGTCATCTCCGCCTATGCCCCGACAGATTGCAGCCCGGATGCAATCAAGGATGAGTTTTACCACCAGTTATCTGTTCTTCTCCAGAAAGTGCGTTCGACAGCTATTGTAGTACTAGCCGGAGATTCGAATGCTCAGGTCGGGTGTCTAGGCACAGAAGAGAGTCGTTTAGGTGGCCGATGGGGACTAATTGGTCGCAGGTCAGGTAACGGGGACCGTCTACTGCAACTGTGCACAGACCACAACCTGTTTCTGGCTAGCACTAACTTTCGGCACAGTCATCGCCGATGTGCCACCTGGCGTCCTCCCTCTGCATCTCAATCCTGGACTCAGATTGATCACATCGCGATCAGCTACCGTTGGCGTGGTTGTGTACAAGATTGCCGCTCCTTTCGGAGTACCTATCTGGACTCTGACCATGCCTTGGTCTGCACCAATCTTACCTTACTTTTCAGTAGACAACGAAGTGACCGCCACCAACGGATTGATGTTAGCAAGCTGGTTGCAACTTCTGTTGCAAGTACGTATCGAACGGAGCTAGTTTCTAGGCTAGTTACCATTCCACCGAAAAGTATAGATGAGCATTGGCTGCAATTGCATGACGCCATGAAAATGGCGGGTACAGTCAGTTGTGGGTTCGCGAAACGTCCTGCTTATAAGCATTGGGTTTCTTCAAGATCCTTACAACTCATTGAAACCCCTCGGTCTACTCCGGGTGACCGTGAGTTTGACCACAAACGAAGGATGTTACGTAAGGAAATTGGGCAAAGCTTGCGTAAGGACCGAGAAGCCTGGTGGTCGAAGCGTGCTAATGAGTTGGAAGCAGCAGCTGCATCTGGTAATCACCGGAAGCTCTTCCAACTCATCCGAGCCACAGGCAGCAAGAAGTCTGGTGTGAGCGAAACAATCTGCGAGGATGATGGAATGCCAATCACTAACATCCATCGACGTCTTGGACGATGGGCAGAATTTTTCGAGGGGCAGTTCAACTGGCCTGCTGCTCCGGCAACATCGGTCAGACTGTCCTGCCCTCCATGGCCGGTGACGACTGATCCACCAAATGAGGAGGAAGTCCGCAAGGAACTCCAACTCTTGAAGCGTTACAAATCACCTGGCTCAGATGACTTACCTCCGGCTCTTTTTAAAGATGGTGGTGACTTTTTGACTAAGGAATTGACGACGTTGTTTACAAAGGTTTGGGAACTAGAGAGTGTACTAACGTCATGGAATGAGTCGATAGTTGTCCCTATCTTTAAAAAGGGTTCACGTCGTTCCTGTAACAACTATCGGGGGATAAGTCTACTTCCGATTGCGTCCAAGCTATTGGCTTCCGTCATACTTCGTAGGTTGTTCAAAACCCGTGAAAGACTGACTCGCGAGGAGCAGGCTGGGTTTCGTTCTGGTCGAGGATGTATTGATCATATCTTCACTCTCCGCCAAATGTTAGGACACCGCCATACTTATCAAAGGCCAACAATCGTGGTGTTTCTTGACATCAGGGCTGCCTTCGATTCGTTGGATAGGACTGTTCTCTGGGATTGTCTATTGAAGAAGGGTGTGCCTGAAAAGTTTATTAACATCCTAAAAGCCCTATATACAAACACCTCGGGCAGAGTGAGGGCATACAACTACCTCTCTCCATTGTTCCATTCGAGCAGTGGGGTTAGGCAGGGTTGCCCAATTTCACCATTCCTCTTCAACTTTGCCATCGATGACATTCTGGAAACAGCTCTGATGGATGTAAGTAATGGTGGTGTGGATCTGTTGCCTGGAGAAAGACTTCTCGACCTTGAGTATGCGGACGATATTGTCTTACTGTGCGATAATGCCCAAGGCATGCAATCTGCACTTAATCAGTTGGCAATCAGTGTCCGTAGGTATGGTATGTGCTTTGCACCTTCTAAGTGCAAAGTACTTCTACAAGACTGGCAGGATTCTAACCCTGTACTCACTCTGGATGGTGAGCAGATAGACGTAGTTGAGAAGTTCGTGTATCTGGGTAGCTGCATAAGTGCTGGTGGGAGTGTGAGTGATGAGATCAATGCACGTATATTGAAAGCTAGAGCGTCTCATGCCAATCTGGGCCACCTTTGGCGCCTTCGTGATGTTAGTCTGGCTGTAAAAGGTCGGATCTACAACGCGTCGGTGAGAGCAGTTTTGCTCTATGCTTGTGAAACCTGACCTCCCCAAGTTACGGATATTAGACGACTCTCTGTGTTTGATCATCGCTGTCTCCAAAGGATTGCTGACATTCAGTGGCAACACCATGTCAGTAATGCAGAGGTTCGGCATCGTGTGTTCGGGCACAGAGATGATAATTCAATTGGTGTCACCATCTTGAAACACCGACTTCAGTGGCTTGGACATGTTCTACGAATGTCGTCCCAGAGAATTCCACGTCGTGCATTATTTGCCGACTCTGGGACTGGTTGGAAGAAGCGGAGAGGTGGCCAGTGCATGACATGGTGTCGTGGCATGAAAGAAAGCTGCAAAGGACTGGCTTGTGTTGGTCCTTCACGACTCCCTGGTTGGGGCCTGAGAGATGGTGCAACACAGTGGCTAGAGACGTTATCAGATATGGCTCAGAATAGAAGCCAGTGGCGATCCTGCTGTAACCTTCTTTTACTTTCTTCATAAAAAGTGGTTGTGTCTCCCTTAACTGAAAAATTTCTGATTGTATCTTTCTGTTCCCTCATTATTACTATTATTATTACTACACTATCTTACACCAACCTCTTCGTTATTGTTCTCTTTTTTTTCACACTCCTTACCTTTTTTTCTTTCTCTTTGAATTCTCATTGTTTTGTGTGGCGCATATATATTGGCGCTCTCTTGTACCAATATTTATGTGTTCAAATAAATAATTAAATAATACCCTGTTTCTAACCTCACTATTACTTAACCGTTGATCCCAGCAGATGCGAGCAATATTTCTAAGACATCTGTGGTCAAATACTAGTAGCTTACGAGTGTCTTCTACTCCTAATGGCCATGTTTCGCTGCCGAAAATGAAAATAAGTAATCTCACACTTCGATTATTATATGTCAGTATTCGGGGATTCACACTGGCACATAGTTTGAGGCATTCCATCATGTGACTTTGAGTTGCATATACATATTCCTTTTGCTTTTCATATTAGAATACACAGGTAAATATGCATTGGTATGTGTAATTAAACATGTGATTCATCTAGGCCTGAGTCAATTGCAAAACAGTCAGCTACAACGTAGGACCATGCACGTATATGCATCGGTCCAAGTTGCCATACCACATTAGCACAACAAGATGAACACCGGATTCATAAATTCTTCTTAATTTTTATTAAGAAAGGGTGAAGTGTTTGCTTCTATTATCCAAAAAGACAAATACATAGATTCTTATCATTATTAATGGTCAATGGGATCACTTCAAATTTACCCTATTTAAAATTCATGTTACAGTAAAAGCTCTCGATCTAAAACCTGATTCATTGGTAAAAA